TCTCCTGACGTTTCACCTGCATCCATGGCAGGCATCCTCAGAGGTTGTGAGGTCTGTTGGAACTAGGAAAAAGTGTTTATATATCTGTGGAATGACCAGGGTGGGACAAAGGACTCTTGTCTGTTGGAGCTAGGTGTGAATGTTTCAACTGATCACCTTGATTAGTATTTGATTGCCTGGCAGTGCCTGCAGCAATCTTTTGTTGAGAGGTGATTATTTCCTCTCTGTTGTTGTGGACTCCACTTTGTGGCCCCATTTCTGAAGGTTGGCTCTGCATCTCGTGGTGTCAGAGCGCAGTCTGTTCAGCGCCTTCCAAGTTGCCCAGTTTTCTGTGTGCCCAGGGGGGAGTCTCTCATTTGGTATCAGCCATTGATTGAGGTTCTGGTTTTAGCCTGCCACTTTTGGACTCTCACTTGCTGAGGTCTTCCTGTGAGTATCTCTGTAGATCTTAGAAAACTATTTCTTGATTTCAGTCGTTGATGTGCTGGCTGATACCCAAACAGGGGATGAGCTGGAGATGTCTCTGCCTTGGTCCTTCCACTATTGGCTGCTACTTCCCGGCGGATGTCAGGTGGTGCAATACCGGCTAAGCAGTGTAATTTCTCCAACGGTGTGGAGCGCAGACACCCCGTGATAATGCGGCATGTCTCATTAAGAGCCACATCCACTGTTTTAGCGTGGTGAGATGTGTTCCATGTGGTTATATGCCTGGATATTCTGAATGAATTCCTTGCCTAAGAAAATCTGCTAAAAGTCATGGAGTCACATAACTAGCACATAGACACACAGAGTTGTTACTGTGTGCCTTCCAGTTGTTTTCAACCTAAGGTGACCCTAAGGCAGGCATGGGCAAACTTCAGCCCTCCAGGTGTTTTGGACTTCAACTCCCACAATTCCTAACAGCCGGTAGGTTGTTAGGAATTGTGGGAGTCGAAGTCCAAAACATCTGGAGGGCCGAAGTTTGCCCATGCCTGCCTTAGGGTCACCTTAGGTTGAAAACAACTGGAAGGGACGGCCATCAAATTCAGCTGAGTAAAGTTGTAATAAGGCCTCCTCCAAGGCGAAAATGAGGAAGGGAGGGAGGGCGTGAGCATTTTATTGTAATATGCAGCTGGACACATTTTTCCCTGCAGGAAAATCAAATGGGCTGTTGTTTTTTGTTTGTTTGTTTGTTTGTGCCGTCACCAATAATCAAAATCAAACTTATTTCTTGAAAGCAATCTATATTATATTAAAATATATTTAAACAAAGAATAAAATAATTTAAAAAGCCATCCCATTTTTTAAAAAAACCTAAAATAAAATGTGCAGTGGAGTTTCACAGTTTGTAAAAGGAATTCTAATTGGAAACAAGATGATTTCTTCAAAGAAACAGAATGTATGAAAGGCTGCCATTACTTTTCAAGCTGTTGTTGGTGTTAATATGGCTTTACAAGTCGGATTCTGACTGTTGGAAAAGGTTTTCTGAGCCAGATTTGTTCAGAGAGAATTTGCTTTTGTCTTCCTCTGACAGTGTTTTCTTACATGACAGTATGGGTGGATCTGCACTGTTGAATCAATGCCGCCTGAGACCACTTTAAGTGCCATGGCTCAATGCAATGGAATCCATGCAGCTGTAGTTTAGTAAGACACTCTAGTTGAGGCCCTTGTAAAACTACAAGTCCTCTCAGACAGTTTTGCGAACCTCCACACCGTATATGCAGACTCCAAATGGTGTATCTGGGGGAGCTCTGGAATCGACTACTTCAGATTATTTTGACTGTTGTGAACACAGCATAAGGCTGGATCTACACTGCCCTTTATCCCAGGATTTGATCCCAGATTATCTTCTTATCTAAGATTATCTGGCCGTGCAGACTCATATAATCCAGTTCAAAGCAGATAATGACATGACTAAGGGATTGTGGAGGATGCAGACCACACCGAGTGGCATAATAATAATAATAATAATAATAATAATAATAATAATAATACTTTATTTATACCCCACTACCATCTCCCAAGGGACTCAGTGCGGCTTACATGAGGCCGAGCCCACAATACATCAATAATAAAAGCAATAACAACGAATAATACAAAACAATAAAATAAAACTCATAACAAATGAAATATGAACTAGGATAAAGTTTTCAGAGAGGGATGGGGCATGCAGACATTCCTAGATCCATAGTAAAGTGCATTTAGAGGACATATTGCTGGGAGTTTCCTTATTCTGGGAAGGCACACTGGAACAACCACGTTTTCAGGCTCCTCCTAAAGACTGCCAAAGTTGGGGCATGCCTGATGTCCTTGGAGAGTGAGTTCCAGAGTTGAGGGGCCACCACCGAGAAAGCCCTCTCCTTCTTCCCCACCAATTGCGCCTGCGATGGAGGTGGGAGTGTGAGCAGGGACTCTCCAGATGATCGAAAGGGGTCGTGTGGGTTCGTACTCAGAAATGCGGTCATTATCAGAGGCAGAGGACGACAAAATGTCACAGGATTCCACAACTTGTATGTACATGTCGTGGCACTGAGATGGTCCTGGGATTTGTAGCTTGTTGTGGAAGCAGAGCTCTTGGACAGACAAAGATAAATATCTTATTAAACTACCAGTCTCTGAATTCCATAGCACTGAACCGAAGCTGTTAATGTAGCATCAAACTGCTACAATTCTGCAGTATGGTTACAGTGTAGGAGGAAGTGGCAGCATCTCACAAAGGGAGATAAAGGGCCCTTCCACACAGCTATATAATACAGAATATCAAGTCAGATAATCCATAATATCTGCTCTGAACTGGATCAGAGTCCACACTGCCATATATCCCAGTTCAGTGTGGGTTTTCTATAGCTGTGTGGAAGGGGCCAAAGATTCATCACTTATATCAGGAAATCTCTGTACATTGGGGGTGTGCAATTTTTTGTAACTCGTTGGAAAGTAGAATCAAATTCATTACATTTGTACTTACAAGACAATATCCGACACATGGGCGTGTCCGCACCAAAAACTTAAGAATCAATACTTTTTCATTTGAATTTTGTAAACCTCAGAAGCTTCCCAAAGTCAGTTTTATTTTGATAAGAAGCAAGAAAAGCAAAGCCAAAAAGGCTGCCTTTCCTCTTTAAATTATTGGCCTCTCACCATTAGGAGATGGAAGCAGCAGGTAGAAAGCAGAGTTCACCGGGAAAGAGACAGAGAAAGTACAGAATTCTGGGAAATATAGTTTGGGAAGGTGAGGATCCCTATGCCAGAGAATGCAAAAGGCCCTGCCCAAAACTACATTTCCCAAAATTCTGCTCAGAATCAGAAAGCTCCAATCAGGAGAGGGGAGAGATTTGTCGTTCCGTAGCCGCAGCAGCTAGAGTTCCAATAAATTGTTGAATTTGAAAAGAGGAGGACTGACTGATACTACTAGTAAGTAAATCTCTGCGCTAGGCTGGGAAGATATCCCTAAATGGACGTTCTATTGGTTGATATGAGATACATTCAATGAGATAACTTGTTCTGGTACAGTTGTACCAGGAGCTCCAACTTCTTTTTCTTTCTTTAAGTGTTTGCATGTATTCCAAGGTTCCATGCATTTTGCAATAAGGTGGCTTCCCTTGGTTTGCAATTATAGGGCTAATGACCCATCAGTCATCATTAGGTTCTTTAGTTCCGCCCCTTTTTCTGGGTTTAGGAGGGAAAAAGGGGACCTCTAGTTCAGTTCACACAGAGAAGCCTTTCGTACAGGACGTGAATCAGTTCCATCTGTAGAAAGCTTCATCTTTTACAGCTTTTGCTGGGGGATCCAGTCCCACAGCTTTACAGCTTTTGCTGGGGGGAATTCAGTCCCACAGCTCTACAAAGAAGCATAGCTTTTGCTGGGGGAAAATATAGTCCCACAGCTTTACAGCCAGCCTTCGCTGGGAATTGAAGACCTTCTTTCCTCTTGGAAATCTACAAAAGGACTCTGTTTGGTAAGGACCACTCGCGGCAGTCATAACACAATTTGGACCGGTTGTAGAGGTAAATGATTTCCCGGATAGTGAAGAAACAGTTCATGAAGATAGTTGCCTGTCCCTTGTGGACAAGATTAAGAAAGCCACCAGTTGATTCAAAGCCTTGAAGTATTTGTTTGATTTATTGAAGACCTAAGCACTAATAAAGGACTTTGTTAAACTTTCCAAGTTTCTAAAGACTTTGTGTAGGGAAATCCAAAGGGCCTCTAATCCGAGGCACCCCCGTCATTCCGTTGGGCATGCAGAACACATCCTGTCTACAGACCTTGTCATAGGCCCAGCGCGTGACAGCACATAACTATTGTGGTTTTAAAAATGTTTTTACCAAAACTTTTTTTTAAAAATCTTTAAATCAGATGTATGAATATTTCTGAAAGTTGGGGGGAATTATCTCCAGTTCTCTTGTATCATTGTTCAGAAAATTCAAAGAGATAGCTCATAGTTTTTAAAAAAAAAGTTTATCAAAACTTTGAATATTCTCCAAAAACCTATGGATATGTGAAACGTTATGAAACTTGATGGGCTAACAGTGGTAAATGTGTTCTACCACTGTAGCGCGTTTCACTCCAATAGCTGTAAAAATGAGGGAGAAAGGAGCCCCTGAAGTTTTTCCACTTGTGCAATTACTATAACGAAAAAGTAATGAAATATCGTCACTTTTGTTATAGTAACGAGATTTTAACTAATGATACTTTAGAAATATTTTAGAAATGAAATGCCAATGCCTCCTAATTTTATAATGACTTTTGAATCATTTTTGAATGCTTGCACATGCCTACTGTACGTATTGTCTAGCACAAACTCTTTAAATTAATGTTCTATTTATTGTTTTAATTGTTATTATATTGCTTTGTTAAATGTAGTGACATCGAATTGCTGCCAAATGTAAGCTGTCCTGAGTCTCCCTTCGTAGGTTGAGAAGGAACGGGGTAGAAATACTAGAAATAAATAATAAAATAATAAAAGCAACTTATAAATAAAATAAACACACTTTCTCCTACTTCCTTTTGTTTTTGTTTTCAGAACAGCCGCCGGGAACTTGGCAGGAGCAACTGCTTGAAGGGGAGAGGAGAGAACCATCTCAAGGTGCTGCAGAGATGACCTGAGACTGAGGCCAGGGTCTGTCCTAGAAGCCTGACCGAGGTGGGATCCGATCCGCACCTTCGACAACCGCATTTCGTGTTTTCAACAGGGGTGGGGACGGGGATAACGTTTAAAGATGGAAAGACCCCAAGTTGACAGGAAAGCCCTACTTTGTGGACTCCAGGGAGATGCAGGATGGGGTGGGAGATGCCCCCTGGTATCGGACTGCAAGGGACATGGAGGAATTGGGACATGCCTAGGAGAAGGGGAAAATATGTCCATTCCTAGGACATCTGGTCCATCCTCAGGGAAACTCGTCCTCCTCTGGCATCAGGCCAAAGAAGGACATCCTGAACTTGGAAATAGCAGAGGTGTGTCCATGCTGGTGGCGGCACATGGATCTCTCCCCTTTTCCAAAAGGACAAAGTGGAAATATAAAGTTTTATCAAGACTGGGCATCTTTGGCTGGTCTGTATGGTCACACTGTTGTAATTGTCTTTCTTTCCTTGTTCAGCAGGCTTGAAAAATAAAGTATTTTTTTCCCTCCTGGTGTGCCTCTCTTTTGACTCTTTGCCCAAAGCTTGGCTCAATGCAGCTCTGTTCACACCACTGAAGGCACAGAAATTTATTTATTTATTTATTTATTTACTTTATTGATATCTCGCCTTTCTCTACCCTGAGGGGGATTCAAGCCGGCTTACAATCACGCCTCCATGGTACCTTAAAACATACCACATCAGTTAAAACATAGGGTTGTTGTAGGTTTTTTCGGGCTATATGGCCATGGTCTAGAGGCATTCTCTCCTGACGTTTCACCTGCATCTATGGCAAGCATCCTCAGAGGTAGTGAGGTCTGTTGGAACTAGGAAAAAGGGTTTATATATCTGTGGAATGACCAGGGTGGGACAAAGGACTCTTGTCTGCTGGAGCTAGGTGTGAATGTTTCATCTGACCACCTTGATTAGCATATAATGGCCTAAGTGCCTAGAGCAAACTTTTGTTGAGAGGTGATTAGATGTCCTTGTTTGTTTCCTCTCTGTTGTTGTGCTGTTGTAATTTTAGAGTTTTTTAATACTGGCAGCCAGATTTTGTTCATTTTCATGGTTTCCTCCTTTCTGTTGAAATTGTCCACATGCTTGTGTATTTGTTCAACAGAAAGGAGGAAACCATGAAAATGAACAAAATCTGGCTACCAGTATTTTAAAAAACTCAGTTGAAACATTCACACCTAGCTCCAGCAGACAAGAGTCCTTTGTCTCACCCTGGTCATTCCACAGATATATAAACCCTTTTTCCTACTTCCAACAGACCTCACTACCTCTGAGGTTGCTTGCCATATATGCAGGTGAAACGTCAGGAGAGAATGCCTCTAGACCATGGCCATATAGCCTGAAAAAACCTACAACAACCCAGTGATTCCAGCCATGAAAGCCTTCGATAATACAGTTTAAACATAAGTTAAACATTTAAATATAAGTATAATAAACATACATTTCAATGAATCACATCATCCAGAGTCATAGTCTAAAGTCCAATCCATAGTCAAATTGCACATATTCCATACTAACATTCCTGCACTGCTCTATTTTTCAAACGCCTGCTCGCAGAGCCAGGTTTTGACTCTCTTTCTAAACACTAAGAAGGAGGGGCTGTCCTGATATCATTAGGGAGGGAGTTTCACAACTGAGGGGCCACCACTGAGAAGGCCCTGTCCCTCGTCCCCACCAACCACAGTTGCGAAGAAGGTGGGACCGAGAGCAGGTCTTCCCCAGATGATCTTAATTTCCGTGGTGGTTCATAGGGAGCAATACGTTCGGACAGGTAGGCTGGACCGGAACCATTTAGAGCCTTATAGGTCAGTTCTCCAGTGGCCAGAATTATGGGAGCTATAGTTCAAATAAACAACATCTGAGTTCTTCCACAGGGTAGCATATAAAAGGCATAAACCCCATAGTTTCTAAATCATGGTAGGAATTATATAGCTGTCTAACTTGCAGCTCCCAATAAAACAAAAGCAGATGGGGAATGTTGGGAAATACAATACAAAATTTGAAGGGTCATATGATTCTCATCCCTACTCTGAATCCAGCACGCTCCATTGTCATGAATACTTTTTAAACAAAGGCAATTTCAGTGTGAGAGGGTATATCAGAGCAACTTTTACACAAAGAACAACATTAGATACACAGACATACAGATTCTATATAACTACATTGGATACACAAGCAACTTCCAGCTACATTGGCTAGCAAACATAGGGGAATTACATTTTTACTCAACATTCACACATATATAAACATTCACTCATTATCATGTATACATCACCATTCTTCCATCATTTCCTGGAGAAGAAGACCTTTTAGACCAGAATGCTTCCTTGCAAATCTTCCACTTTTCCAATACTTTAAAAACTTCCAAATCTCCTGCTTTCCACTGCAGATCTGTTGCCCTGCAAATACACAATTTCTCTCTTTCTATGGAGCAAAGAATGGGTAGACCAGACTCCTCTGGTCTGCCAAAATTTTTGGATTGTAATAAGATCTCCTTTATAGCAATATTTCTTGCTGATGTTGTTCCAAAGTTGTAAATGAATGATAGATGTTTTTCCAGGCTGAAACATGTTGATTCCCATCAGTTCCAGACAGATGTTGACTCTCCTTAATTGGTGTTGGTAAACGTAAGGAACCTTGGGTTGACTTCCTTCTTAAAAGATATTGGTTTCCTTAACTTAAAAGAGCCATTGTTTCTGATAACGTAAACATGTTGTTTCCGCCAAGAGTTAATCAAGTCAGCAATGTCAACAGTTAATCACTGTCACATTTTTCATCAGCAACTTTTAATTACAGTCCATGAATGTAGTTGTTTTCCGGGTCTCAATATTTTAGAATTGGGTCTTTTGAATGGAGCCCAATTAGGCCCCATTCAATTTTTTGTACAATTTTTTGTACAATACATTCAAACCATGCATCATATATTTTTATGCATCACACAGTCAGAATTACTGAGATTCTTCTTTCCATACAATAACACTAGAAATTTTTCTCTGGACATTATCTCATAAAGCCACTATCCTAAGGATTAATTGATTTGTTGATCCTTAATTAATTTGTTAATGAAGGCTTTCGTGGTTGATATCACTGGGTTGCTGTGAGTTTTCCAGGCAGTATAGCCATTAGGGCTGGGCAACCACGGAAAAATTTGTTTCTAAAATCGATTCGTTTTTTGGGGGTTTTTGCGTTTCGATTTTTAAAAGAATTCCGAAATTTTTCTTTTAAAAAGTTCGATATTTACAAAATTTCGTAAATTACAAAACAATACGAAACAATTACGAAACAATTACGAATCGATTCGTTAATGGCGGACGCGACCGCGCAATACACTAAAAAACCTCCAAATGGGACAGGGGGAACTTCTGAAGCTTCCCTCTCCCTCTGTTGTTGACTGTTGGTGTGATATTTATAATTTTTTTTCACTGATTAAACAAACAACAACTATAAAACTTGCCCCAGACATGCGGAAATAATAACGAAACGATTTCAAAACGATAACGAAACGAATACAAAACGAATTCGAACCAATTACGAAACGAATTTAAAAATTCATTTCGTTTTTTAGTTGCTCCTGAATGGTTCGTTATCGCTTCGTTATAAAAAAAAACGAATTTTTAACGAATTACGAAATTACGAAACGAAACCGCCCAGCCCTAATGGCCATGTTCTGGACCATGGCCATATAGCCTGGAAAACACACATCAACCCACTTGATTAATTTGATGATCCCCGGTATTGCACATCTTTGAGCGTTGCGCTACTGCAATACTTGGCAGCGTCATTGCTGTACTTCCAGGCAGCAGCAGAACTCATCCTTTCATAACCCTGCTTCTCCAAAGAGTTTGTTTTTTTATTTTAGTAGAAACAATTCTTAGTTGCACAAAGTAAGGAAAAGGAGGTGGGGGAGAAGGACTATTTGTTTGTTTGTTTGTTTGTTTGTTTACTTATCTACAGTATTTATATTCCGTCCTTCTCACCCCGCAGGGGACTCAGGACGGATTACAATGTACACATACATATGGCAAACATTCAATGCCAAAGACACACAACAGATATAGACAAACAGTCAGAGGCTATTTAACGTTTTCTGGGAGCTGTCGCTTTCATTGTCCATCTGCGACACTGATGAAGTACTTCCGCATTCCCTGCATGCTTTTGCTCGAGTACTTTGCTGGAGTCTATGGCCTCATAAATTTTGTTAAATTACCCTCCCCACACATAGGTGGTACCCAATTTTCCTACTTGACAGATGCAACTGTCTTTTGGGTTGCAAAGGTCAACAACAAGCTACACAATTGGTCGGAAGCTCACTCCAACCTGGGCTGGCTTTGAACTCATGACCTTGTGGTTAGAAATTATCTTAATGCAACTGACACTCAGACAACTTCGCCACAGTCCATGTGCAATCCCATCCTTTTATGAGTTCTGGCATAAAATCAGATTGGGAGATCATTGCATCAGGGATGTTGCAGCATCATGGCACACTCAGCGGCTATTGGAGAGGCTCACTTATCAATAGCAGTATATGGATTTGTTGTAAGGAGGAAGTGTTGCTTTCATCTGATGCTGAAAAAGATCCCTTGCCCAAGGTCACCCAGTGAGTACTCATGGTCAAATAGTCAAACCCATCTATCTAAAAGATTTGTATCTGTTTGTGTTATTCAAAAGTACACACAGAGTGCTGGTGGGTGATTTCCATATGAGTGGGTAGTGGATCTACTCCACATTTTAGTCCAAACTTGAAACCAGCTATCCAAGATGCTATTAAAGGCTAGCATAGAAATCTGGATAGATCCTTAAAGTTCTTTAAGGTTTCCCCTCCCTAATTTTAGATAAAGCACTTGCACCTACATATTGGGATATCATAGAGATGGGACCCAATTCTGAACAGAAAATTATAGCCTGAAGGTCATTGTATACACAATATTGATAAGAATTGTGTGCAGAGAGAAAGGTTTACATACACTGCATCTTCAAAAAACCAAAGGCATCATTATAATTATCTCAGTTCCTCATGTGTACAATTTTGTATTTTGGAATAATTTGGATACAGGGATGCTCAATCTGGATGTATTTATGCATGCATATTCATATGTGTGTGCGTGTTATTATGTATATATATTATACTGTAATTATCACTATATAATTTACATTACTATGCATTATATTACCGTGTGTGTGTGTGTGTATATAATGTATATTTATCTGTATCTACATATCATCATCATCATTTTAGTTCTTATCCGCCTTTCGTGGCTCAAGGTGAGTTACAGCATAGTTAAAACACACAAAAATTGTCAAAATTTAAAAATATAGATATACTATATATTAAATAATTTAAAATATTGTAGAGTACTCTACAAGGCTCCATCTACACTGCCATACAATGCAGCTTGAACTGAATTATGTAGTCAGTGTAGACTCATATAATGCAGATTGAACTGCATTGAACTGGATTATATGAGTCTACACCGCCATGTAATCCAATGCAGTGAA